GGGGCAGTTCTGTTCTATCCTACACAGTCACTAGGAGTCAGAATTGACTTGACAGCAATGGTAAAATATATGTACTACATCCCAATGTGATGATACAACTATTGGTCTCTACTTGTCCAAACAAAAGAGAAAGGAAACCAAAGGTTCAAGAAGAAAGTAGTGTACAGGACAAACAGTCTATGCAAACTATGGCCTTATCTACCCTGAGACCAGAAGAGCTAGATGGTGGCCAGCTACCACTACCGACCGTTCTGATCAGAGCCACAACAGATGGATCCTGGCAGAATGGGAGAAATACGTGAAACAGAATTCAAATTCTTAAAAAGTCCAGACTTACTGGACTGGTTAAAACTAAAGAATTCCCTGAGACTACTGCCCTGAGATACACTTTAAACCTTAAACTGAAATTATCCCTTGGGGTCACCTTTTAGCTAAATAACTGATTAGGTCATAAACAGACAATATCACCACGAAAAATGAGCTCCTTAAAAAAATCATCTATATGAGACCAAATGTTGAAAAATTACTAAACCTACTATACAGCTATGGTAGTCAAAACAGCCTGGTACTGACAGATACATTGACCAACGGAACAGACTTAAGAACCCATAGGTAAATCCATCCACCTACAGTCACCTGATCTTCAACATAGGTCCAAAGTCCATTAAATGTGGAAAAGATAGTCTTTTTAACAAATGGTGCTGGCAAAACTAAATGTCCATCTGTAAAAAAAATGAAACAGGACCCATATCTCACACCATACAAAAAAACTATATCAAAATGGATCAAAGACCTAAATATAAAATCAAAAACTATAAAGATTATAGAAGAAAAAATAGAGTCAACACTAGAGGCTCTAATACATAGCATAAATAGGATAAAAACTAACAATATACAAACACCAGAAGATAAACTAGATAACTGGGATCATCTAAAAATTAAACACTTATGCTCATCAAGACTTCACCAAAAGAATAAAAAGAGAACATACAGACTGGGAAAACAATTTTAGCTACGAAAAATCCAACAAAGGTCTAATCTCTAAAATCCATAGGAAAATCTAACACCTCTACAACAAAAAGACAAATTATCCAGTTAAAAAATGGGCAAAGGGTAAGCAGCTATCTAAGATACTTCACTGGTCTCACCCCTTTGGGAGCAAGGGAGAATGAAGAAAACAAGATACAAGGGAAAGATTAGTCCAAAGGACTAATGGACCACAACTACCACAGCCTCCACCAGACTGAGTCCAGTACAACTAGGTGGTGCCCAGCTACCACCACTAATTGCTCTGACAGGGATCACAACAGAAGGTCCCAAGCAGAGCTGGAGAAAAATGTAGAACAAAATTCTAACTTACAAAAAAAGACCAGACTTACTGGCCTGACAGAGACTGAAGAAACCCCAAGAGTACAGCCCCTGGACACCCTTTTAGCTCAGTAATGAAGTCACTCCTGAGGTTCACCCTTCAGCCAAAGATTAGACAGCCCTATAAAACAAAACGAGACTAATGGGGCACAACAGCCCAGGGACAAGCACCAGAAAGCAGGAGAGGAAAGGAAGCTGGTAACAGGGAACCCAAGGTCAAGAAGGGAGAGGGCTGACATGTCGTGGGGTTGTTAACCAATGTCATAACACAATACGTGTACTAACTGTTTAAGGAGAAACTATTTGTTCTGTAAACCTTCATCTAAAGTACAATTTAAAAAAATTTTTTTAAAAATGGGCAAAGAATATGAACGGACACTTCACCAAAGAAGACATTCAGGCAGCTAACAGACACATAAGAAAATGTTCGCAATCACTAGCCATCAGAGAAATGCAAATCAAAACTACAATGAGATACCATTTCACCCCAACATTACTGGCACAAATCAGAAAAACAGAAAATAACAAATGTTGGAGAGGGTGCAGGGAGATTGGAACTCTTACGCACTGCTGGTGGGAATGTAAAATGGTACAACCATTTTGGAAAACGGTATGATACTTCCATAAAAAGCTAGAAATAGAAATATCATACAATTCTGCAATCCCACTCTTAGGAATATATCCTAGAGAAATGAGAGCCATCACACGAGTAGACATATGCACACCCACATTCACTGCAGCATTATTCACAACAGCAAACAAACGATTGTATAAACAAACTATGGTGCATACACACAATGGAATACTGTGAAACAATAAAGAACAACGATGAATCTGCAAAACACCTCACAACATGGATGAATCTGGAGGGCATTATGCTGAGTGAAATAAGTCAATCACAAAAGAGCAAATACTGTATGAGATCATTATTATAAAAACTCATGAAAAGGTTTATACACAGAAAGAAACAATCTTTGATGGTTTCGAGGGAAGGGAGGGGCAGGGAGGGAAAAACACTAACTAGACAATAGATAAGTGGTAACTTTGGTGAATGGTAAGACAGTACACAATACTGGGGAAGTCAGCACAACTTGCCAAGGCAAGGTCAGGGAAGCTTCATAGACACATCCAAACTCCCCGAGGGACCGAATTACTGGGCTGAGGGCTGGGGACCATGGTCCCAGGGAACATCTAGCTCAATTGGTATAACACATATATAAAGAAAATGTTCTACATCCTACTTTGGTGAGTAGTGTCTGGGGTCTTAAAAGCTAGTGAGCAGTCATGTAAGCTCTGCCTACCGGCCCCACCCCATCTGCAGCAAGGGAGAATGAAGAAAACCAAAGACACTAGGGAAAGATTAGTCCAAAGGACTAATGGACCACAACTACCACAGCCTCCACCAGACTGAGTCCAGCACAACTAGATAGTACCCAGCTACCACCACTAACGGCTCTGACAGGGATCACAATAGAGGGTCCCAGACAGAACTGGATAAAAATGTAGAACAAAATTCTAACTCACAAAAAAAGACCAGACCTTACTGGTCTGACAGAGACTGGAGAAACCCCGAGAGTATGGCCCCCTAACAGTCTTTTAACTCAGTACTAAAGTCACTCCTGAGGTTTACCCTTTAGCCAAGGATTAGACAGGCCCATAAAACAAAATGAGACTAAATGGGTATACCAGCCCAGGGGCAAGGACAAGAAGGCAGGAAGGGACAGGAAAGATGGCAATGGGGAACCCAAGCTCGAGAAGGGGAGAATGTTGACACATCATAGGGTTGGCAACCAATGTCACAAAACAATATGTGTATTAACTGTTCAATGAGAAACTAATTTGCTCTGTAAACCTTCATCTAAAGCATAATAAAAAAAAAATGTTTAAATTAAAAAAAAAAAATTACTCCAAAGCAAAAATGAGAAGGTAGGCGGGTAGGGAAACTAGAGTATTAGAAATGGTACAACCAGATGGAATGGATGAGAATGATGACACATTATGAAAAATTTAACCAATATCACTGTACAGTTTGTGTAGAAATTGTTAAATGGAACCTTATGTGCTGTGTAAACTTTCACCTTAAACGCAATATTATTTTTAAAAAATAATGATAATAATGTGGAACAGAAACTAATTAGGTCCTATTTATCATCTCAGAAAAATTCAGGAACTGTGATGGTATGAGTTCCCTTAGAGTCTAGAATCTTGGTAACCTCCACTTGTATCTCTTGTTATCTTTGATTTCTTAAATTGGAAAAGGCTAATGGTGCTTCTCTTTGAGAGCAATGAGGAAGAGAAAATTAGGCAGGCTTATGGAGAGAAGGATCAATCCCAAGGCATGAAGTTAGCAATGGACAATCTCAAAGAGGGAAAAACAGGCTGAGACCAAGGCTTCTAACTGGTTCTTCCTAGTTCAGTCATGGCCAAGGAGGTAACACCGGAACAGACCTGAATTTTAAAAATTTGGGTGACCCAGAACCACTACTGGAATGGGAAAAATTACAAGTGGAAGCCCTGTGAGAAACTTAATCTCCCTCTAAGAAAACAAGGGCAGTGTATGCACTGCATAGCAACCAAATCTCTTGCCCGTGGGATTCTGTGCAGAGTCAGAAACAGCGGTGGCGGGCTCAAAGATGGTGGCTGGCCACACCACTCTTAAAGTCTGTCACTCTCCTCAGTGCTGGCAATAATCCAGTCTCACGTATCAGGCTCCTGAAGGGCTCACCACGTCTTTTCCGAGTCTCTCATTCCAGGGCTTTAACCCATAATTTTTCCCTTTCCGGTTATGGTTCTGGATCACCTAAATTTTAAAAATTCAGGTCTCTTCCGGTTTCACTTTGTCAGTCATGACTAAACCAGTTCAAATCAGTTCGAAGCCCTCGCTGAGACCCCGAAGTCTGTGACCAAGCAAAAAAGAAGGGAATCATTCACCCCAGAGTCAAATCCCAACTCCACCTCTTACAAAGCTGGGCAAGTTCCTTAACCTCTAAGCTTCAGTTTCGTTATCTATAAACTAGAAATAAAACCAGTAAGTACCTCAAGAGTTCTCATGGAGATTAAATAGATAATGTATTTAAAGCACTTAACACAAAACCCTGAACAAAACATTAGTATTATTATTAATTTTGATTATCATCATCAGGATATGGTGTTGGCTTTAAACTCCTCAACCCTACTTTCCAAGGCCCCAACTGTATTCAAGATGCCTTAATGCCAGAATCACAAGAGCTTTAGCAGATACTTTTCTCCTCCTGGGCCATCCGTCCAATCTCTGTGGATCCTTTCTACCGAACTGTAGTAATAAAGTTCGAGATAACAAAGAGATAGATCTAACTCTTTGTTCTATATATATAAACGTGTATATACATATATACGTATATTTGGGTTTGAACTACATAGATTTTGAAAAGTCTCTTATCCAGTTCAAACTCAGTCCTCTGCTTAATATAAACTTCATTCCCTATTATCACCTAAGGGAAATCAGGTTCAAGGCCCTACAAAAATGACTCAGGAGGCCAGAAAAGTTATAAACAGCTGAAATCACCCTGTATCCTAAAATGAATTAGGGGAGCAGTATAGAACTTTGATTGCCCCATCGGAACCAATACAGAGTTTCCCATAAAGAGTCTCACCTGTAACTTCAGAGATAAATTCTTGGGACCAGTCAGTCTCATTATAATCCTGAGTTACATCCACAGCATCTCCAGCTGCAAGAAACTCCTGGGCCCAGTTCTCCGACAAGGCCAAGTCTGCCACACCAGGGGCTAAAAAGAGAAAGAAGAAAAAAAAATACTTATCATTTCCATCAGGCCTAAGGAACCCTGAGTGCACATGAAAACACTACGTTCCTTTTGTCTTCTTCTGTATCCAGTTCCACAATGCCACAAGCATTCAAATTTGGAACCCCTTTGGCCCTTCCTACACAGAGAATGGTGACCTCCTCTCCCACCAGACTCTGAACCCACCTCTCTGGGGAGCCTGGCGGAAGCTGGACTGTTCAATCTCCTGCATCTCTGCCAGGAGGTCATCCATCTTAAAGGTCTGAGGGGCACGGGATACAAGTGGTGCATTCTGGTCATGCAGGAATTCAGCCACCAGCTATCAGAAAAAGATGGTGAAATGAACCCATGGGGTCAGGAAGTCCCAGCAAGAGACAGCGTCCAATGGATGAGGGATAATGATGTTAGATACAATGAAAAGATAATACAGAAACTGGAGACAATTTAAAAAAGAGAGAGAGAAACTTAACTCTCCATAGATTTGGAAACAAATAATACATGAAAAAAATAAGCAGGAGAGCTAAAGCAAATCTGATTTGTTCAGGAAAGTCCTAAGATTGACATATGAGTGAGCCAAGTTTAAAGGTAAAAGCACAATGCTGTTGTTAGTTGCTGTACAAGTCAACGCCCATTAATGGGGACCCCATCTGTGCAGAGTAGAACTGCTCCAGAGAGTTTTCAAAGCTGTGACCTTCGGAAGCAAATCAAAAGGGCTGTCTTCCAAGGCACCTCTGGGTGGGTTCAAACCATCAACCTATTGGCTAGCAGTCAAGCACTTAACAGTTTACAATGGAAAAGAGACTGATGTATTTACCTCATCTTCAGAGGCTATTCCCAAAGGCTTAGAGACCTAAGATAGAGGAGAAAGGAAGGCAATATGGTACAGTAGTGAAAACACAGGTGAAATCAGTTGAACATGAATTAAAATTCCAGCTCTACTATTTACTACTTATATACCTTGGACAAGTCACATAACTTCTCTGGGCCTCAATTTCTTTATAAAATTGTTGCCTTCGTCTATATAGGATGCACAGTGCTTAGTATAGACGTGTTTAGTAAACACTCATTAAGTGGTAACTATTATTTGCAAAACAATAAAGAAAGCAGTTATCCAAGGTGTACCTCTGGGCATTCCATCCCAGCCCACCACTTGGGCTTTCCACTCACCGCCTCCGGAGCGGGGGCTCCCGGGGGCCAGGGGCCAGGCCTCAAGCCTTCCTGTCGCAGGGCCTTGTCTTGGGTGAAGTGCCCAGCCAGTTTCATGAGTGGGTTGGCACCGCCGCATTCTGCCTCCACCAGCTCCCGCATTGCCATGATGACCGCCAGCTCTCTGATGGGCAGAGGTTTGGACCTGAGGTCCCGAAGACAGATCCACCTCCAACCCCCAACTCAGCTCGCATATTGGGGAGGCTAGCAGACATCGGCCCCGCACGGGTCAGGCTCCTGGTCACTGGCCACTGGCCACCCTCCACCCATGTGCCTTTTACTGTGGCCCACACCACTGCCTAGAGTCCAAAGGGAGCCAGGACCCTCCCGCCGCCCCCTTAAAGGCCACAGCCTTCAACCTGGACCTCTTTCGGCGGCCTTCACGTCTGTGGTCTCAGCCGGCTGAACCCGGCCAGCAGCCGCCCCCGACGGAGGGGCCTGGACACCAGAAAGGGACGCTTCCCCAGCCGGGCTGTACCGGAATACTGGGTGGGCACGAGAAGCGAGTAACAACGCCTGACCGTAACCCCTGTTCCCCGCACTCCCCAGTGGTCAGGTGAACAACACGGGGTGCGACCCTCTCCCCCTAAGTCACCTGGGCCCCTCCCTCTGCTTGACCCGCTCCCGGCCCATCCCTCCTGCGTTCCAGACCACCCCATCTGCCACGGCCCTGTTCCACGAGGACACAGCAAAAGCGGGGAGATGGAGGACCTGTCCGCAAGCCCTCCTGGGGCCTTGTGCTCACCGCTGCGCGCCGCGCAGCAAAACCTGCGGGGACACCTGGTGCGGACTGGCGGGGAAGGGGAAGGTAGGAGGCGGGGAGTCAGGGGGCGGGGCTCAGGCTTAAAGGGGCCGTGACCGCCGCGCAGCGGTCTCTGCCCAAAGGAAGCTGTTTGAATGGGCGGGGCCTTAAGGGTGCGACGCAGCGTAACGGGAGGAGCAGTGAATCTTAAAGGGGCAGGGCTCCTTAAAGGAAAAGTCTTGGAGTGTGTGCTCTTGGAAGCGCTCAAAAGGGTTGTGGACCCTAAGATTTATTCGATGGAAGGCTCAAAGAAGAATGGAGCTGAGGGGACTGGGGAAAAGCCGAAGGCCCAGGTTGCTGGGCTCAGTTCATCCTTGCTCTTCTTGGGGGCCCACTGTGACCCAATGGGATTCCCTGCCCTTTCTAGGCGTCAGTTTCCCGCTCTAAAATGGCCAGTCTTCCCATGCTCTAAAGTGGGTAAGAAAAAAACCCTAATGTTGGATTGGACTCAGGGGCGGGGAGAGGTTGGTCAACTCAGGGACCTTCTCCAGCCTCCCTTCCAAACTCCCTGTAGAGGGATAGCGTCACAGTCTCCATGGAGACAGTGGCCTGCAGCCAATCCCTTTGCCACCTCTGTGTATTGGGGAAAATAGCACTGAATGGTGACCAAGTCCAGAGACTAAAATAGGGTCCAACGCATCCTGAGACCTCAAGCTGATAACATACAGGGTAGGTGTACAGTGAGTCACTCCTCTCCTGTCCACTCTCCCTCACCAGTAGTCAAAGTCACTGTGGTGGCCTTATACCCACTCTTTCAAGCTGAGAAAAATCAGACATACTGCAAGAAATGCGGAATATGAACTTAAGCCTCAGACCCCACCATCTGCCAGGGAATTGGCTTAGCTGTCAAACCTCAAGGTCACTGGGAAACAAACCCTGATCTCTCACCTGGCTCCAAGACCAACGGAGTCCTGGTGTCATGTAGAAGGGCAAGAGGGGCTCTGGGTGGCTGGTAGAGGAGCAAGGATATGGTAGACCCAGCCAGACAGAAGTACCATCCCAGCCCAGGGTGCACTCGAGGAGGCAGGTAGACACCAGGTGGAGTCATAAGCCAGGCCTGTTACCTGTCTGTCAAACAGATATCAGTGGTGGAGGCCCCAGGGGACCAAAGAGACTTGGCTATGTAAACTCATCCCTGGGAAGGTAGAGAAGCTGTTCTTGACACCTCAAGGAAACTGAATGACAGAACAAACCTGAAGGATGTGTAAAATTTTTCCTTTTCTTTGCATTTTCACCATTTTTCAGAGGCTCTAATCTGTTACCTCTTTTCCCCCTGGAGTACACAAATCCTGGCCCTTGAGTGTCCACTGTTCTCAGGCTGCCACTGTAAGGAAAATACCTTAAAAAAGTTGCCATCCAGTTGATTTCAACTCATAGCGACCCATAAGACAGAGTAGAACTGCCCCATAGGGTTTCCAAGGAGCGGCTGGTGGATTTCAGCTTCCAACCTTCTGGTTAGCAGTCAAGGTCTTAACTACTGCGCCACCAGGAAAATGCCTACTACTAATAAACCACACCAAGGACAAAGGGATGCCCTTTGGAAAGTGCATACTTCCAAAAAGAGGATCCCTGGAGAGGGCAATTTTGCCCTGGGTGGTGCAGATGGTTTGCATTCAACTACTGACCTATATATTGCTGGTTTGAGCCTGCCCTGCGGTGCCACAGAAGAAAGGTCTTGCTGTCTGCTTCCGTAAAGATTACGGCCAAGAAAACCGTATGGAGCAGTTCTACTCTATAACATACGGGGTCACCGTGAGTCAGAATTCACTCCACAGAAACGGGTTTGGTTTTAGGTTTTTCGAGAGGGCAATGGTCAACTGGAAGCATAAAATATGGTAGAATTTCAGAACATTAAGGCGTCCAGAGAGGGTTTCCCAGTAGCACTCCAACCACACCACACACATGACCTTCTGCTCTGCTAGAAGCAGTAACTCGCTACGTGCCCACTCTTGGGAGAACGGAAATAATGATAACTGGTGCTTATTGAGTGCTTACTAAAATCCAGGGACTGCACTAAACATTTTATGAGCATTAGCACTTTTAATTTTCATAGTATGTTTATGATATAGGTTTACTAACCCCATTTTACAGATAAGACTTGTCCTAAAATCACACAACTAAGGTGTCATAATTCAGTCCAGGCTTAACTCCAGATATCTATCCATTGCATAGCACTGCCTCCCAGTCTTAAAGAAGCCTGGTTTATGAGCTGTAGAATGCTTCACAGAACCTGGCCCACAAGTCCAAGAGGGTGTCTAGGGTTGGCAGAGAACTAAACAGAGTTATTTGGGTGTTTAATTAATATTAATTTATTGAAGTTCTAGATTTAAAGTCCTAAATTTTGTTAATCCAGGTTCAACTATAAATTCTTATTCTATTTATAAAAGTAGTAACTTTTATAAAATAAAAATAATCACTTTTACTTTCTCTTTAATTAATGTTCAGTTAATTCAAGTTTAACAGATTAAATTCCTCCAAACAATTTTTAAACACTTATATTGCATTTACAATGTGCCAGGCACTATTCTAAGCACTTTTCAAATATTAATTCATTTAATCCTCATACAAACTAATAATAATAGCAACTATTATCCCCATTTTACAGACAGGACACTGAGGCACAGAGAAGTTAAGTGACTTGCTCAAAGTTATACTGCTTATAAGTAGCGAAGCTGGGACTTGAACCTAGACCAGGATCAACAAACTTTGTCTGTGAAGGGTCAGATAGTAACCTGGATTTGCAGGCCATATGGTCTCTGTCACAGCAAGTCAACTCTGCCATTCTAGTACAAAAGCAGCTGTAGACAATACATAAATGAATGAGTGTGGCTGTGTTCCAATAAACCTTTGTTTATGAGCACTGAAATTTGAATTTCGTGTAATTTTCACATCTCACAAAATATTATTTTTCTTTTGATTTTTTTCCAAGCAGTTAAAAATGTCAAACTATTCTTAGCTTGCAGACCACACGAAAACAGATGGCAGGCTATAGTTTGCCAACCCCTAACACAGACAGTCTGGTTCCAGAGTCTGCACTTTTAATCACTATGCTATACTTTCTATTTTTAAGAATCAAATTCCCTTAAATATTTTGAACTACTTAGGAGCTGTACTTAATATACATATATGTTAAAGCATTATAAATGCTTGACAGAGCTAACAACCCTCTTTTTTACCTCTTTTTCTTTCTAACCTCTTATTCAACCCTTGTAAATCTAATAAACTTAAAACATTTATAAAGTCCTCTCAGCCCTTTTAACTTAAAGTCACAAGTCTAAAATAAATTTTACCTCTCAGATTGAAGGCCAATCATCAGATTCTCTTAAACATCAAACATTTTAACTCAAAGTCACTTAAACATACCTCTGGAATGCAAATTTTACCAGCTCAGGTAGTTCCGGGTTATGGGGTTAAATTTGGAACCATAGTACAGGTACTTAGATTCAGAGATTTAAGACTAGGACGCTAGACATAGGGACTATACGATCCCAAAATGATGCTGTCTGAACCACAAGTGAACACCCTCAGCCCTCTCTCAGAGCAGAGTTCTGTCCTCCGTGTCATGGATCCCTGAGGCCATTCTCTTCAACTGAGAATGCTGTCCAACTCTCGAGTTACCACCCTACCTAGTTTTAATCATTTGATAAAGGTAGTTGAAAAGCTGCATCCCCACATCAGGTGCAACTAATTTCTTTCACAACTTCAATTGGATAACAAATCTCTGCTCACTAAGTGTTGAATTTCACTGTTCCATGTTGTTGAGGGTGGGAGTTGGGAAATGGGGACCACTATCTGGTTTGATTCTTTAGTTTTTTAATGATATAACATGCAGAGTAATGGAAGATTCCATGCTCTGGATATTGCAAGTCAAGCTACGGTCTTCACACATGTACATTTGAAAGGGTTTGTTGGTTATGATTACTCATCCGTACTTACAGCCTCAGTAGCTACCTTTGACAGAGACACTTTGGCAAAGGAAGAAAGCTATATGTGTAATAAAACGCAGCAAATTCCAAAACTGGACCCATTGATTTAGGAAATAATATTGAAGTCATTATTCCCTGTCCTTGAGCATAGAGAATGTGACCCAGCTGGAGCTGGGCTCACAACTGCTCACAAGGACTCACAAGGACACATCAACTGGGCCCTGAGGTGTAAAGACATGATTTAGGAAATAATATTGGAGTTATTATTCCCTCTCCTTGAGCATAGAGAATGTGACCCAACTGGAGCTGGGCTCACAACTGCTCACTAGGACTCACAAGGACACATCAACTGGGCCCTGAGGTATAAAGACAATAACTACGATAATCTTGGAAAATATCTTTTAGGGAAAGTTTCACATAAAGCCGATCAAACAGAACACAAAAGACTTTCTACTCTTATCTCTTTTTGTTAGCATTTAGTGAGTAGGAATTTGTTGGACCAGTGAAGACCCTCCTGACTCTCGTTACTGAAACCTGTACCAATGATTCTTAAGAAAGACAATTCAAAATGTAGAATCACAGTTTCTAGCCAATCTATCAAAAGATGGAGCTTTCAGTGGTTTTGCCTCTTTGTAATGTTAATATATACTGATAAGTCTGTAACCTCCTCGGATTCGGGCAGACATGGCTGTGGCAGCATGCTTGCCGTTTCCCACTTCTGCCCTTTTGAATATATGCCGAATAAAACTTACTTTTTGCTTTACTAAACTTTGTGATGTTTTTCCCCTACAACAGACAATAGCTAAGATAATCTTGGAAAATATCTTTTAGGGAAACTTTCACATAAAGCCAATCAAACAGAACACAAAAGGCTTTCTACTCATTTTCTATTAGCATTTAGTGAATAGAAATTTGTTGGACTAATGAAGACCCTCCTGACTCTGGTTACTGAAACCTGTACCAACGATTGTTAAGAAAGACAATTCAAAATGTAGGATCATGGATTCTAGCCAATCTGAAAAGGCTGAGCTTTCAATGGTTTTGCCCATTTGT